ACGGTTCTGTGATCCCAACGCTCAATCTAAATTAATTTGTAAATCGTTGTGATCCCATTTACTTTAAGATTTTAAAAAATAACAACAAGATTGATAATAAGTTTCAAAATGAACATTATTGACTTTGCAAAATTATCAAAAAGAACTGTACAGAGGGATACGTTACGTTATGTATGAAGTAAATATTCAATAGATACGATAGTACATGCAAATGCAATTTAGACGTGTTTTTTTTTTTAAACGGTTACGAAACAAATGTTCATCATGTGGAAGTGGTGTCGAAAATGGCTTGACCCCGCGCTAATATCAGCATTGCTCACATGTTGTACGTCCGTAACACGAGAGTTACGTACACCATGTTCTGCCCATTAGTAACCAACAATTTAGGTACTTCCTACAATTTGTATGCCACTCTTATGTTCTTTTGACAATTCTTATATATCATGCCGTGTGCGCGTTTTGTACTACATGATTTGTGTTAAAATTAGAAAGTTTATAGGTACCTATTTCAGCCGTTATTGCTATCGATAAAAAATTCTACTCGAATTTGAATAGCGGGCGTCATCGGATCACTGCGCACAGTTTAAAAAGCCTCATTCAATAGAAAATCTAACTGATATATGTTCTGTTTAATACAACATTATTAAACAGTAGTAATCATAAGGATACACTCCACATCTTTATGATCAATAACTCATAATAATCTACACTACTATATTGGTGCGATAATCACTGTATAAAGTAATATAATATCGCACTTTTTAAGGAAATGTTACTGTTAAAGAAATGTTAATGCTGTTGTTCTCTTTATCACAAATATGACGTCAAATATTATTGAAATTCATGCGATGCGCTATGTCCATTGCTCGCTATAGTCAGGTGGAGAGATGGAGAGACTCGTTGAAGAAAACCGTCACGTTTTTGGAGAAAGCGCAGCATTTGGTGGCGGGTGGCCCGCTGCGGCCGGGCAGTCCATACGTGCGCGCCGCAGCGGTTAATTGTCCTTTCGCAGTCCACAGTTTGACACTAATACAAACAGGTGACTTGCGAAGTGTGTGATTCCGTGAGTAGCACGTTTACTTATTTAAAAGTTCAACATTTTTTTATTACAATTTTCTCTCTTACAGAAACATACACTAACTAAAATTTACTAAAGTAACTTTCGTTATCTAAGTCTTTGTCGATTATCAATAATCATAACAAGTTTACGTAACCTTAAACGCAATGGTAAATTAAACATTCAAACGCTTCCTTTCTAATTACTTTTACTATTTCATGTCGAAAAAGAGATCAGTGCAGGTGTCTTGTCGTTACGTTCGACCGCGCACAAATCAGTGAAACCTAATAACTGGTGGTTGTGCTAAATGTCAATGTTTATATGTGAATAGGTGACGTAACAAATATTACTTATGTACGAGATAATTAACAAAATTTAAGTGGTCATAAACCACTTAAACTCGCAGTGCTCGTCTTTTGGTAATTGTAATGTTCCCCACCGCCGAGGTCCACTCCATATACCCAACTCTCAACGATTAGATGAAAAGCACCTTACGTGACTGGTGGCTAAGGAAACTGTGCTAAGTAGAAAATCAAGTTTGCATTTCTCATAAACATCTAGAAATTCGAGAAATCAAAGCATTGCCTCGAGATTTATTTAATTCTGTACGCAGAAGTACTTTTAGCAATAAACAGTATCATTGAGTTGGATTTTCGTTTAGAAAATTATTTAAGTAAAGCTTTTCGCTATTTTCTGGTTATATGATAGCACGTTAATTACTTAATTGCCATAGACAATCTTCATAATTGAGTGTTCAAATAAATTAAATAACAGCCTAAGGCACGCGAAACTATAAAAATGCATTGAAACATTTATTGCCTAGCTCGGTATTATGTACCTATCAATTAAATGCCTCGCCGCTCAGAGTATTTTGCAGCTACATTAATATAATGCCGTTTTAATTAACACAAGATGTTACTTTCCCCTCTCGCGTCGCTTCTGTGGAAAACCGCGAAAGTTAGTTTAACGCTGTTCACAAGATAAACGCGCGCGTAGCAAGAATGTTTGCTAGTATATTTACTTATACAAAATAAACTTTTTTAAATAAAATCATTGATTCAAAAATAGAACCAGCGAGTAACAAACGAGAGTGTCGAACGGTTAACTAAGTCTAGGGTTCTAATTTTAAACGACATACCAAACGGAAATTTAGAACGCTCAACGGATTGCACGTTCTAAATTTAATTTTGAGTGCAGCTGCCAGTGTGAACTTTGTTCGTAGAGTATTCACTTTTTATTTTTAAATTATTGTTTTGAAGGATAAGTAGATTCTTTACCGTTCTGTCTTTCAATAGAAAATGTTCCACAAGCATGAACTTTGATTTATCGCTCGTAATCGCTGGGCGTGTTAGAAACGATTGTTTTGTAATTGGCAATGACAGTGAAAGTGTGCGCAAATAGCTGTCGTCATATTTGTTGGTAAATACTATTTTTCTTAATTGTTCCTGTCTTTTCTGTTATCCTAGTATTTCGTGACTTTCACCTTCGTTATTGTTGTTCGAATAAATTAGCCTAATAGACGAGAGATCGTGGCCAAATTGAATTATTAATGTTACGACATTTGGTAATTTATTATGAAACACTACGTTACTGGCTTTTTTAACGTTATTTAGCAAACTTGTAATTATTGATTACGTGTGTCTATGGACCATCCATGCGATGAGAATATACTACTTAGTCCTATTATTATACCAATCTAAATTACAGTACAGCACGGTTGTTCATGCGAAATGTGCGTAGTACAGTCACACACGTGATTGCTATAAACTTTAAAGATTGCGTCACAAGTTCACAAAGCTAGTGAAATCAGCGGTGTAAAACTGAATAAGTCGTCAAATATTGGATTATTATTGAGTGTCGTATCACATACGGCTGTCTGTATTCATGCGTGTTAATCAAATCTAATATTACATAAGCGTGACACGGCTTGTACACAATACATGTAGCTATGATATTATCTGTCACCTTGTAATAACAGCGCGAGCTCCAGCAATTCTCGGTTACCATTACCATAGGGACCTTTACTGCACTCGGAACGAAAAACGGCACAACTGCTGTGTAAAGTACGCATAATTGTGCCTTTTTTCGTTACGAGGGCAGCTATAAGTAACAGTTATAGATGTCTCGACTCGTGCGAAATTAAACACAAATGGCATTAACATAAGGTAAAATTTACAATGTACCGACAAAACGTTTCGGTACCGTTAACGAAAAAAAACATTGGAAGTTGCATTTTGCGTTCCATTTGTTGCGAACCCTGGAACGGCTATGACGTTTACCTTTTTCGATCGTTGGTTATCACTACGAACAATCCTTTGATGGAAGAAAAATCTTCCATAATTTAAGAAATGTGTAGCCAACCGTCATGATGTAAAATGCCGTGTATGTTTTGTTTAGGTTTGTGTGCCTCCGAGGCCGAACGGTTACCATGCCGGACTGCCACGCAAAGGTTCCAGGTTCGATTCCCGGGCCGGGAGAAATATTTGTATGACCTACACGTATTTCTCTCGTGAGTTTGGGTGTAATTTGTGGTTGTCTATGTGGTGTCCATAGCACCCGCGACACAGGTTTTCCCTAGTGCGGGGCTATGCTGAGTGTGTGCGTTATTATTGTTAGGTGTTTCTTGTTGCTTTTACCTATAGGCTCAATTTTTATTGCGGCGAAACCGATTTGTATCGATGCAGTCGCGCGTTTGCATCGATGCAATCGCCTATAAATCGCAAGTGTAGCGAGCAATCCTAATTCCTAAAATTCGCACGAAGCGTTACGCTTCCACATTTATGTGGCTAACGGCTATGGAGTGGAATTCACTGCCTGCAGACTCGTTCCCTGAAAGTTATAACTTGAATCTTTTCAAGGCATGAGTGTATAGGCATTATTTAGGTGTGCATGCTCCATCGTCGATCTATCGTCACTTTTTTTTATGATGTCAAGTGACGGGACGAACAAGCCGTTCGCCTGATGTCCTTAACAGTTGCAGTGCCACTCAAAGCTTTACGTTGCAAAGATCTGAGGGGCACTGGCAGTGCGCCCGCCACCCTGATACGTAAGTTGACAAGTCTCATGTGCCTGTAACTTCACCAGCACCCTTACCCTTCAAAACCGGAACACAATAATGGTGACGTCACTGCTTGGCGTCTGAAATAGGTAAGGTGGCAGTACTACCCTGGACGAACTCTTGCACAGGAGCGCTACTGCTACTAACTTTCCATCAGGTGAGATGGAGGACAAATGTGCACTTACATTTTTATTAAAAAAAAGCAATCACGCGATTCAGGAACGCTGCTAAAGTCGACGTGTGTAACCACTCTTGAAGTCCGGTGATTTTAATGACAATTCTTTTACTTTGATAGGTATAAATGTACATTGATGAATGATCTTGTTGAAATCTACTCGTCCGAAAAGGGCCAAACTTCTCGAGGGCATGTCATCTATAAATCGGCGAAATGCCTTAGGGATCCTTCGGCATTCGTACATGCAAGCCCATACTGACGGTAATAATGCCGCGGTGTCCTTAGGCATGCCTAAGCATACCGTCGCGACATCACGCTCGCACCTAGCATCTCTTGAGATCAGTTGTATGTAACGTTGCAAATTGGTTTATTAGCATAACATAGACCATGTGTATTTAAAAATGGTAGTCTTGCTGAAGAAAAAGAGAACTATATTCCAGGAAGGAGATGAATTTGGGTGAACAACCTACCGAAATATCCCAAAGCATGCATTTTTGTAGCTGCGACCATTACAATTGAAATTTCTATAAATTTCTATAATGTCGTTAACGTTAACGTATTTTACTTTTCGTCATATTAATGCCGTGCCGTCCCCTTAGGTTGCGGCGGACCTTACTCGCATTGGGTCACTGAGGTCGACTATGACCTTCACCGTCTTTTTAGTAGATAGATACAATTACAGTTTAGTAAATTCAGGATATTGTTTTCAGACAACAGATAGCGCGGACTTTTTGGCAACGCGTCCTCACACAGCCGCCGTGCTGCCGGGCAAACCGGCAGGCAACCCACTACAGTTCGTGCGCGTTGGGCCTGCCGACCTGGGCAGCCGCGCTCGCGAGCAACTACGCCGCGCCGAACTCGCCAAACGCACCGAACCATCCAGGATCGAACGCCAAGAGGACTGGCAGTCGGTGAGTAAACACACAAGTAAATACGCCACATGACGCACCACTTACTTGGTCTCGCATAAAGGAATTCCTAGTAAGTAAGTGCTAGACTAATTAAAACTGCAGGCACTGAACACCCGGCCTAAAACTATGGGTCCACCTACTGTAAACGTGAGACTTCATTGCCTATTACCCTCCCAAGGCTCAGCTACAATGGGAAAAGCGCTAAACGCCCAATCTACTAAATATAAAGCAAGTATGTCAGGTTTATACGAAACGCTTATTTTTCTTGATACTCTATAGTCATATGGAATATATGACGCTAATTTGAATGCAATGTTTACGTGATCATTCATAGTAATAATGTTGTCTGGATATGAAATATTTTACACATTATTACATTTTATTCATTTTACATTTTGATGTTCACGGGGCCTTAGGAGGTTAATGCGTTGGTCATTTTTGCAATTGGACTGATACAGTACATCCTCAAGCTAAAATACTTCCTTGGTGCAACACACAGACCATGTATCGTCTACAACACAATATCTATGAAGAAATCATTACTTCACCGAATACACACTTATGAATAGAAACTTATGAGAACTTTTCAAGATTAATAATTGTGTTCTCTTAAAAAGTTCAATATTAATAAAATTTGCCTACGCCAAAAAAGTATTCAACCGGTAACACTTTTGAGTTTAATCCCCACACAATGTATTGCGTACTACTACTCAAACCACTTAAGGCGAGTCTACTAAGGAGATGCGAGAAAAATTGCTTTGCTAGATCAAATGGTTTAAGTATTTACTATTAAATAACGGGGTATTAAAAATATACGATACACCTAAGGATATTGTCTAAAGAAGGTGCTGCTAATCATTACGTGATAGAATGTAGTTTACCCGATCATATAAAATTCCGAAAACAGGCTAAAATAAAAAAAAAATCTAAAAGTCTAAAACGAATTATTTGAGAATATCTCACTTTGCACATAATTTTTATATTGACATATTTCTCTTTAAGTATTACAGAGAACCAGCCAAATGTTGGTTTTCAACTGAAGCTCCTATAGTTATTATAATAACTTGAAAACTAACTAACTTGAAAATTGCCCCTCTGCTTAATGATACTCCCGCCGCCCGAAGCCCCGTCAGTCGCCATCAGACGATTGTCACCGTCGGTTCTGTGTCAAATTTTCTCCGCCTGTTCTTATTTTATTCATATTAATAATTTAAGCGTGCAGATTACGGGAGCGAACCCGCTCGCCTCACCTCCTAAAATCCAGATTCGCGTTAAAATACCTAGTCTTAATAGTTGTTTAAGCGTGTTGACAATTTTTAATCCTTGCGGTCACAACCACAACTGTTAAACTGAAGGAAGATAATGCAACTATTCATAAGTAGCATTAAGTAATTACTTAAAGGATGTTTAAGTATTATTTTAAAAGAAAAATATTACTCTGAGTTCCCTATTTCTAGGAAATAGCTCCAAATAATTAGAAAGTGGAACGTTAGAAGGATAACATTTATAAACACTATAAGCCCTTCCGCTCGTAATTTTGTAATTACTCGATTTGTCGTTATTTAACAGGCGACGTTAATAATATAATTTTCGCCGAAGAAAGTGAACTCTACGATTATATTGGCTTGGCAGAGATGCTTTTATAGTTTTCTTTTCCCGAAATGTGTTTTATACAGTCTATTGATTTATTGGAAATTTCTCATTACAGCGTGGTATATTTTCTGTATGGGCAAAGATTTATTGTCCTATAAATTCATCGGGACCTCAGCTCTCCGTTTTAAAACAATTGTGATTTATCGCAGTCACAATAAAATACTCGAAGTAAGTAGGTACCCCGTTACAGTAACCTTTTCAAATACTGAAGATCGTTGGGTTTGTATACCAACAGGTAGCACGCCATTCTACCGAAAGTTTTTAGTAGTGTCAGGCAACCGTGGATATTCAAAACAATTATAGTTATTAACCGACTTCAAAAAAATCAATTCGACTGTATGTTTTTTTTATATGTACATATGTTACTCGGTAACTCATGTTCGAGAGAGGGTAACTCAGTAGTGGTCCCGTTTAAATGTGAAGAAAATATTCCCCCCTAAGGGTGGCAAACTAGGGGATGAATCTGTATTCGCGCACTTTCCGGTAACCGATTTCAATAAAACTTACGTAGATGTAATTCCACGAACTTTTGAGATCGGTTTTTTTAGTACTCTGTACTGAGTTTATCAATGCAATTTCGACACCAGCTATGATCGACTGACCAATGAACATGAACGCTTTATCATACCCTATAATATTTTGCGTACGTAGGAATAGTACTTTAAATATTGTGGATGGGATATTTTTCTTCGCGCAATTATTTTATTTTTAAAAGTAAGTAATACTGCATTTAAATACTTTTAAAACTTGCTTACCTAATCTGGGAATCGAACCGAGCAGATGTGAAAAAAAACATTCTGTATTTTTATGATGGTGGTGTAATTCCTTATAAGTAACTAGTATGTTAATGTAAAGGATCATCTGTGATGCAGTAAAGGTGACAAAAAAATCTTAAACTGTAATTGGGGTGTACATGATTCAAATACCAGAGATACAAAACAAAGGTCGTTTATATATGACAGTATATCTCCTTGATATTCCCGACGGAAGCCTTCAACAGCAGCGGATATACGTGGCGGGCGCGTTTGTGTCGTTCAGAAGCCTGGGGAATGCTGCAAGTTTCCGCTCGCTCTGCTGATGGCTTGCTTTTTGCCATTGTTTTCGTTTTTAATCACAATTCTTAGAACCACTTGCCGCAAAGCATCCAATTGCTCAAATAGTTCAACATAGCGATAATTCGTACACCATAATTATATAATTTACTGAAATTCCTGGAAATGTGTCACCCTGGAAAGTATATCTTATCTCGTAGTGTGAAAGCGTAAACCGTATTCGTGTCAATGACGGCTATTGACATGCGAAATGGCACAAACTATAGTTAATACTTTAAAAAAAAATTATAACCATGTATAGACCGTAGGAAATTAAGGATATTTAATAAAATTTTCTTAAATTGAGGTTTTTTATAGGCACGACGCAAAATACTAAATAGACAATATCTTCTTGTATGAAATGAAATAGGAGCTTAAAAACAAATCACTGGTAGAATGTGCGGTAGAACAGGATATACCTTAACATTAGTACCTATCCTATATTACCTAGATTACCATCTTCTAAGCGGCTTGAAATAAAACAACAGTTGAGTAATCGCGGTGTTTGTTAAAACAGCAAGTACGAGAACAGTCAAGTGTAAGACTAGATCAGATGGTTCTAGATGTTATCGCATGGTACAAGCTTCCGCGTAAAAGCGAGAATCCTTAAGGATGTAGGAACAAATTAGAATATGTGAGGTAAGCAGTTTGCAATAAAATGGTTTTACTAAACCCATAATACTCTTCGTATCAATACGCAAATCCCTGAAATTGAAACCCTATTATTTAAATTGTTTCAAATTCCTAGCAAGATAGCTCTTTTTTGTTATTTGTTCCTCATGACTTACACCACACAAGTTTGCTGCGTTTAAGTCTAGTCGCAACATCGTGAAGCGAAATTGAGAAAAAAACAGCCGCACCGACAACACGCAATGTATTTCGCATACAATCTGCGAGTCTACTCCAATGCAAACAAAAGAAAAACTTTATTTAAACAGTAGCTCTACTTGACAGGGTAACATTTTGCAAATTCTTTCTCTGCCCAACCGCGTAAAGTTTTCTCGTGTAAATTAGCACGACGCAAATCGTAAGTAATAGCATTGAGGAAGAAAAATAAACGATTGTACAATCCACTGTTGTAAGGCCGAAATCGCAACTTGACTTGCAAATATGGTACTAGACAATAAATAACTTTATTTTTCTATCAGTGTAGTGATTTCGATAACCTTATTATGGAAGATAAGCATTTAGGCCTCTGTTTAATATTAATGAAATTTATAATTTAGTAACATAATTTTCATATTTTGAGCAACTAATTAATCACTTTGTTCAAATCGGTCCTAGATGAGCTTGTGCAATGCCGGTCTCTCAATATAATTTCAGTTCTGTGCTTTACAATACTCGCAGCTGAGTAATTTTATGATTGTCGACTAAGTCAAGTACAACCTTTTTAAGAACTTTTACATCCGACACTTAGGGTCGTATTCTAGAACTGTACTCAATGCTCAAGTCAGGATTGCAATGGAAACACAAGCACTGGAAATACGACCCTAATGGCAGGTACTTGAGTATGATTTCGAGTGCTTTAAACCTTACTCAAATCCTGACTTGAGCATTGAGTAGAGTTCTAGAATACGACCCTTAGGGCAATTCCGAAGGGCCCCCTGATCCGATTCCTGCCAGATCACCAACCAATAATTCATACAAATAAATAAATAAATATTAGACAACATCACAAATATTGCTCCGATCCCAAAGCAAGTGACTAAAGCACTTGTGTTATGGAAATAAGAACCAACGACCACCCAGTACCACAAACACCCAGACCCGAGACAATATAGAAAATTCAGTTTTTCTACATTGACCCGGCCGGGGATGGAACCCGGGATCTCTGAGATGGCTACACCATGAAAACCGGTGTGCAAGCCGCGTACCCACTGAGGTCGTCATATTACCGATGAATATATTTATTTGACGAAAATCCAACGATAATTAGCTACTAATTATAAATGTATAGGCATTATGGCCCCCATTATCCTAAAGTGCCCAGAGTGTCCAATTGGTCAATGATGGCCCTAAGTACAAGTATTTAAGAAAGTCATATTGTTTTGTGTTGTTTTATATTGAGACTGTAAACATTGATGATCTTGCTTTTAAGCTACTCAGAAGAACGTATTTTACTTCCAGCGTTTTCTATTTATTTTATTCGTGGAGGGAAAGAAAAGTAGAGTGTTCCCGACGCTACGCTTAGGACTCTATTATAGGACTGTAATCGAAAATCCTTCGATCCGTTATGAATCCAATGCACCATCGTCGACGTAAATGCTATTTTGCTCCCTAACATTATATATTAACAATAACAGGGCTACAAGGCCCTAGCCTAGGTCTAAATTACATCAAAATGCAATTATGTACAGCGAGTGTATTATAATGATGTCCTTGTGCCTTTTGATCGTGGTCCGGTAAATGGTGCAGCATACCTATGTTGCATTCATTGCAGCTTATCATGTTATAAGGTCATGGACTGACTTTATATTTTCGAGTACCCGCAATGATCTTGTTTTTATCACAATTGCAAACAGAAATATAATTTATTTACATATAGTAGTAACATTGATCGTGTTATATTCGTACGAGTATTTTTCTAGAAACCGTATATTAGTGTTTTTTTATTCTTTTAGAATCTGGACAATTGGAAATCTTCGCGACGAAAGAGGGTGGAGCACATAATAGAGCGGTGTGTGGAGGTGCGCCGCATGGAGCACGAGACTGGCCAACCGCGTACGAAGTCCAAGACCTTCAACGAAATGCTTGAGGAGAGGTGAGTACGACAATTTCGTCAGTATCGGCACCAGACCGCAGATGTGACACCTGGCTAAAAATTCTCCATAATATCGCTAATATCTGACCAGTTGATCGCAGGGCCGCACAATCAGACAACTACACATGAATCTGGGGAATCCAGCTACAATTTCACTCATGTGCAAAGGTCGTGACCGCTATAAACTCGTACCTTCCCCCTGCCCTACCCTCCCCACCTCTCCGCTCTTGTGCCGAGTCTGAACTTGAATATGCTGCGCGTCAATCTTCGCGATCGAATCGAAACGTATGCATAGTCGAGGATCGACTTGAATAACAATGACAATGGAAAATAAAACTCGGAACAAACAAAGGCGTGGGATACTAACTCAATATCGCGCAATAAATTCTCAAAACAACAAAAATCATGATGTTGCGCTCTACTAATGTGAGGAGATAAGAACACATATATTACACAATATTTTTTAATTCTTTTAATATTATGTTTGCATATAAATGAAATAACAAAGACATTATTCGGGCCCAGCCACACGATCAAGGTGTTTCTCAATATGGCGTTACTGATCAATTATAATGCAATACGGTACGCGTAATCAACCTTATTATTTTGCCAATACGTGGTCATTATTAAACTACAATAGTTGTATTCGAATGTTTCTAGCTTTATTTGTTCGAATCAGCAATGGATTATTTTGATTGCGTTATTTTAGGTACCTCGTTACATTTCTTGCTGCTTTCAGTTTCTTATTCGTCAGTAAAGCGAACATTGAAAGGCACAAACCAGACTATAGTGTTGAGCTTGCTAATCTCTAGGAAGTGTGAGCCTGGCGTTGAATGAATTAGCGTTTCTGTTATGTAGCCTTCAATAAAGAAGCTGGTTATTAGGTAAAGTGCATATGATGATGTGGGTGCAACCATCGAGGCTGCGAATGCACCCGTGCTTGGAATCTACTAACTCAACGATGGGCAACGCTTCTGGTAATATAATATCTAAGTCATTGACTCTACGTTCGTTGCATTGGTTGCTATTGCAGAGGTGATTTATTTAATTAAATACTTCCCTGAACACATACAGATGCAATAACGCGTACAATTCAATAATAAATACTAAATTTTATGAGCAAAGATCGAAATAAGTTAGGTAATTTACCTAACCTTCAAGTGAGGAACATAGTGTAAATATACCTAACTCGAAAATCCCGTAATGATTGAAAATAAAAGGTGCAAAATCAATACAAAATAGTTACATTGTTTCTTACAATTAAAAACTTTTAATCTGAATACACTAACATAGTAAAAGAATTGCCTAATTATTTGCGTAATTGCTACTCTTCAAAAATATAGAACAAAATACAATATAATAGATTCCGATGCTTGAAAAAACAACTCTTTTAAAATCTCTACATGCAGTTCATTTAAAAACGAAAGGTTTAGGTCTAATTTCCTCTGGAAGGAAATCGGCTTTCGTCAGATGTACGCGCCCCTTCGGTGTGGATTACACGTTGGTTACGCTCGGCGTGCGCTGGCACAGAGCGATCGAGTTACAAGCGCCCGTCGCCTGCGCAAGCACAGGAACATCTTTGGCAATAGCAGCTTTACTCTCTTAGACACCTCATTTATTCGCGTTAATGAGGCATTTTACCTCTTATTATAAGCCTCAACCTACGCCGCTAGCTAAGACTTACTATTCTGCTCCTGTTACAAGAAATAATAGAATTATACAAGTATATTTTGTTCTATTACTTTTGTAACAGAACTTTGTTACGTCGGTAAGGTGTTATGACAAGATTCAATTATTTTTTACATAACAGAGATCTATTTTGTAATCTTTACAAATAAAACAATCTCTCTGTAAAGTATAATATTGTTTCGGATGTCCGCTTGCTTATGAAAATACTTGTAAAAGATGTTGTTTGCGAACTATTATAGAAAGTTTGTAAGGTTTGCGGGTTCTTGAAACAGAAAACATTACGTATTTACGTTACTCTCACTGCACAACAGTTGCCCTAGTGGTGGGCCCAGATTTCACATTGTCATCTGTGAAAAACCATTTAATGCGTTCCTCTTTCTCGAGAACACAGATGGTATACGGATGGCCCTGATACGGAGACACTTATCTGACTTTAGGTATCTTAAACTGTCAGATAAAAGCTGCACACTTGATGACAGTCCGTAACATAGTTGTCACGACTATTCGAGGTTGAGACAGATGTAGTTGTCGCAGTGAAAGTGCCGGTTGATTTATTAATAAAAACCTTACTCTTTTGTTTGCATTCTTCAGCAATTATGAGTTTAATTTATGCTTACATACACTTTGCAATTATTAGCACCGAGAGCAAAAGCAAGTACGTGAAATGTGGTTCCTAGCTTAAGTACACTTTTTATACTTGATAGCGTATCTTTCAACAACTCTCATCAGATTAAAAATACCTATACACAATATAAGTTGTCTGTTATTTATCAAAGTCATAATCACTAAAATTTATTAGTCATATAACACTTTATCACCTCATACAAAATTCAGGTAAACATGAAACAAATGCGAACCGAATAATACACGTCACTTCCGTTCGTTCGCTAATCTAATTCCGACCGTTTTACGAATATACGAACAATGTAACGCATTCGCTGCAACGCCTTATAAACATCCTGTATTCGTTTTCAAAACTTCCAACAAACTCAGCATTTCCAGTGAGAAATTGTTCAGCAGATTTCCTTTATTTTACTAACATTGAAAAAAGAAATTGCTTTACTGTGCAATCTATAATGAAATGATCAAATGAGCGACGTGACAGGTGGTACAATTTGCATTCAGTGCAGCCCACAGCGTAACAACTGATCCTCAAATCAACTTTAATTTCTTACAATGCCCACGTTTCTCGTACAATGGCATATCATTTGACATGAAAAGCGATAATACCTTGTCATTTTAAGAGCTGAGATAATTTGCCATTGCACAATAGGCGCGTATTTTCGATCCAAGGTAATACGCAAATACTTGAAGAATCGTAGGTAGTTACTTTGCTTAATAGTAAACGTTTTTTAAAATGTTTTTGCTGATTCGCGCTAGGTATTATACACACACTTTGATTTTGCTTTTCATGACGTTCGATCACCCACTCCATTGCCCAAAACCCACAAGGTGATATAATTTAACAGCCTTATATGGACTCCTAATCCTGCAATATTTTGCATCAACACAACAGATCAAGCTAAGCCAGCAATTTATAATAGCTGCGAGTTGTACTCGCAACTATAACAAATTCGCTTGAAATCGACCTTTTTACTCCGAACTGGATTGTTACCAAAAAACTTAATAACATTTTTAAAGTAATGGGTTAATTTATTTTTTAGTGTAAGTGAACTTTCACTCCGTCAGTTTTTGTTTTTATCAATTTAAAATATCTTTCATAATTGCTTATATGGAAGAGAAGTTCAAGCCGTTCCTTAGTTTCTTTTTATTAGAAACAAGTTTTGACGAATATGATATTGTTAAGAAGATTCGTTATTGTTAGACCGCACGGTGATTAAGTGACGCTCAACAAATTATCCTTTAATTCAGTATCACGCCGAAAACCACATAAATGTCCTCGTCGACATCAAATTGTTGGGTGTTAAGTGTCTTTATTCTTTTCTGAGAGTCGATACTAGTGCTTGTCGATCTACCGTTACTCGTTCATCTCGTCTGTCAGCCGCAATGGGGTCGCGACTGAGATATCGTTTCATTTGTCTCGTATTGCTTACTAAAATTATGTAATTTTATATGTAATATCTATTGCGTAGTGTTGACTACTACTCTCGTCGTTCGATTTATTATGTACTTAAGAGTTCCTTAGGAAAACTAGAGTAACCCTGCTCTACACCAATGGCAAGTTTCAAGAAAGATCTTCACAGATTTTAGTACTTCATTTCTAAAATACAAAGTTACAACACAAATCTTCATTGCGAAATAGTTCGCTACTACGATATGATGTGATGACACAGATTAGTTTATCGTGATATTTCAATAAATAGACATCTAATCTAATCACGTCCCCGCTCGGCTAAATTCTAAAATCTGATCTCATTACAAAACTAGACTATTCAACAACTGACGGTTGATCTTTATATTAGCGCAGTAAGAGCGTTGACATGGTAGTAATAATAAAGAATTATTTGTGAAAGGCAGCGCAGATTTACCGTTCTAAATCTGTAATATCTGTTCAGGATGACAGTTTTGCAACTGGTTATATTTGTAATTGTAATTTGCAAATTGTTGCAGTTTACATAACTTATAATTGGATTAAATTAGTTTACTTAACAATAATTTCATCGGGTTAATGTGCTCGAAATCGAAACTTTTTCGATTAGTTTCCATTAATTACTTATTTCTAAAGACAATGCAAAATATTGCTCCACCATTAAAATACTAACGTACAAGATCGCTGAAACTTTATATAAAATGTTTAGTTATCTAATTTCAAATATAATTAATTAATTTCGTCGCGTAGGATCTTCCTGAAGATTTTTATAGCAACATTTAAAAAATCTTACACTGATCTTTATAAATTCAAAATATTATGTTTTAAATATTAGGGCGATTAACGTATCCTTACAGTCAAAAAGCTGCTGTAAAACGTCGCTAAATGTACAAGTCAAAACTTTTTCTATCCAAACAGACAATCGGATGATTGTTTCACTTCTAGAAAGCTGGCTCACAATCGGCTACAATTACCAGTGCGGCACGAGGTAATGTTCGACCATCTGCCTGTCTGTCTGTCTCTTCTGTGATCTGTTAAACTGCACTTGTTTCAAAATAAAAGTACCACGATTTGCCCAGGAGAACCCTGAGAGGAAAGAAAGGATGTACGTGATTTGCACATCAAGTCTCTAATCTCTAGACGTCGTCTGAGCAAGCAGGCTGAAGAAATGGCATGCGAAGTACTTACTGCCGTCATATCCCCTGTTGCACGCTGATTTCTGCGGATTAGATACTAGATTTCCCTCTACCATTTCCGTAAT